AATTGCTGAGTGGATAATTAATCAAACAATCAAACAGGTAAACAAGTGCAGGGTGCAAATTAAATTGTCAAGACAAACAGTAATCACAATAATAAATAAGTATTTACAAACATTTCCCTTCTTCCCGAGGGAGTCAATTGCTAGAAATGAAGAGATTAGTTTTGTACATGATGAGCAATTGTCTAAATTGATTGACAATACAATTTGCAATGGCAAGCAGTAATATACACTAAGTTGTTTTTTACATGCAGCAAAGCGAGGTTAAAATCAGGTGCAAGTCACAAGTTGAGATACATTTCAGATACAGGATTCAGGTAATATATTATTGAAACAAACCAAATGAGAATTCATCAATTGGATACTTCGTGCTTGGTACTGGCGTTCGAGACGATCTTCTTTGGGGCTGTTGGTTTGTCAATGCCTTCTTGCGTTTTCTCTTTTTAGTTTTCTCAGGTGTTCGAGAAGAGCTGGCAGTTTCAGATTGTTGCGAGGCATTCACGGTCTCAGGCTGCTGTGCAAAATTGACAGTCAGCGTTGGTGGTGATTTCGTCATTTCTTGCCTTGGTGGTGAGTTCAAAGTTTCATCAGTTGGATCTGGTTGGTCTGCTTCGGTGATCTCAGGTGTTATTTTCTCATTTGTTTTTGAGACTGATGTTGCGTTGTCAGCGTACCAAAGGTAAGATTTCTTCTTGTTTTCTGGTTGTTTTGAACTCAGGGTGGTCAGAGTTGATGTTGAGGTAAAGTCTGGTCTAATGTGTCTTGATGTTCGTACAACTTCATTGCCTTTCTCATTTTTCACCAGATATGATCTCAGAGCAGAAGTACTTTTCTCAAGAATGACAGCAGATTTCCATTTGTTTGTGCGTCCATCAGTGATCAGCACAGGTTGTTCTTTTACAAATTTCACTTCTTTCTTTGAGGCTGTTCTGTTGTAGTAGTCTGCTGCTTTCTTTTGACGTTCTTTGAGTTTTTCTTGAACTTCTGTTTGGATTTCAGGATGGAGCATTTCTTCTGAGATTGGTAAAGTTGTTTTCAGTCTTCTGTTGAACATTAATTGAGCTGGTGTTGCATTTAATCCAGAGATTTTCATGTTTCTGTAGTTCAGAAGTGCTAGTGAGATGCTGCTCTTGTCTTCTTTGCATTTCTCTAGTCTTCGTTTGGCAATATCCACTGCTTTTTCGGCTTGACCGTTTGACTGTGGATAATTTGGTGAGCTGTACACATATCGGAAAGGTAGTATCTGCGTCAGGGCTTGACATTCTGCAGAGTTGAATGGGTTATTGTCGGTATAGACAATATCAGGTACTCCAAATCGGTGAAACAATTCTTCAAGATGGCTGTTAATTTCTTTTGCTGATTTGTTCTTCAGTTTCAGGATTTCAAGCCATTTTGAGTACACATCTTGAACAATCAGATAGTCTGTGCCTCCAAAGTGCAGAATATCAGCTGCTAAATGAGACCATGCCCTTGTGGGAATGTCTCGAAGTGCCATTCTTTCTTTCTTCTTTTGGGGCTGGAAAGTTGCACAGATTTTACAGGCATGAATCATGTCTGAGATGTCCTTGTAGAGTCCTGGCCAGTAAACCGTTTCAATTGCAAGTGAGTTGGTTTTAGATATGCCGAGGTGACCAAGATGTAGTTTCTTCAGCATTATTTCTCTTAGTTTAACAGGAATTATAGCTCTTGATTCAAAAAATAATATGCCATTATCTTCATGAACTTTTTCTCTGTTTTGCCAATAAGGCTTGAGCTTTTCTGGAAGCTGAGTTTTGCTGTCAGGCCAACCTTCATAAACATATTTTTCAAGTTCTTGCATTTGTAGATCTTCACTTGTTGCTTTCCTGATTTGTTCCTTGAGTGGGTCAGAAACACGAAGCAATATGGTAACTGAGTGAATGGTGGTTGTTATCTTGATTTCATCTTCTGGCTTACAAGGTAAACAATCTCGGCTCAAAAGGTCTGCTACATGCATTTTTGATCCTGGCCTGTAGATTACTGTCAGATTGTAGTTCAGTGTTTTGGTGCGAAGAGCTTGAAGTCTTGTAGAACCAATTTGTGAGACAGATTTGTCAAACACTGATACAAGGGGTTTGTGATCTGTATGAACTGTCACTGGTCTCCCATAAATATAATAATGGTACTTCTTTAGTGAGAAAATTATTGCCAAGCATTCCTTCTCAATAACAGCGTATCTCTGTTCAACATCAGTTAAACATCTTGATGCATAGGCCACTGGTGTACCTTGTTGTAGCAGAGTGCAACCAATTCCAAATTTTGAGGCATCGCATTGAATCACTATTTCTTTCTTTTCATCAAAGTTGGCAAGTGTTGGTGCAGTGGTGATGAGTTCTTTTATTTTGTCTAGAGCTTGCTGATGACAGGGAAGCCACATCCATTTGGTGTTTTTCTTCAGAAGTGGTCTCAGTACTTGAATGAGGTCAGACAGGTTCTTGACAAATCCTCTTTCATAGTTGAACATGCCAAGTATTTTCTGAAGCTGCTTCTTTGTGGTTGGGTTTTTTAGAGCTTGGATGGCTTTGACTCTTGCTGGATCTATTCTTCGTCCGTTTTTACTAAATATGTGTCCAACATACTTGACTTCTGAGGCTCTCAACTGGATTTTCTTGCTGTTGAACTTGATGTTGTTTTTTCTTGCTCTCTCTATAACAGCTTTCAATGCAGTATCATGTTCTTCCATATTTCTGCCAAATACAATTAGGTCATCAAAATAGTTCAGTGTGTTCGGGATGTCAGCAAAATATTTTGAGCATGCCTGTTGAAAAATTTCAGGTGCTGCGCTCAAACCAAAAGGAAGTCTCTTGAACTTGTAGCATCCAAATGGAGTCGAGAATGCACAGTGGTTGCTTGATTCAGGGTCGAGAAGACAGTGCCAAAATCCATTTTTTAGATCTAACACTGTAAAGATTGAGTTGTTAGATAGTCTAGTTTGAATGTAGTCCACAGATGGAATCTCAAAATATGGTCTCTTGATTGCTTTATTGAGTTCTTGCGGATCAAGACATACTCTAAGAGAGCCGTCTGGTTTCTCTCTAATTAGACTATTAGAAACCCATGAGGATGGTTGTGGGCATTTCTCAATAATGTCTTGTTTTTCCAAATCTTGCAGGTGTGTCTGAAGTTTGTCACTGATGATTTTCGGTAGTCTTCTTGCAGGTTTTCGTTGTGGTTCAATATCTTCATCTATCATGAGAGACACTGTATCAGGAAATTGTCCTGTACCTGTGAAAACATCAATGTTATCTTCTACAAACTTCGAGGTCATGGTGTTCTTGGTTTCCGTCTTAGTTTCTGGTGTCTTCTTCTCCTTGTCACGACTACTGAGTGAGTGAACAGATGGTGGGATCCTTTGGACAAGATTAAGTGTAACACATGTGTGTCGGCTTAACAGCGGAACATCAGATGTGTCAATCACATAGAAAGTCAAAATTCTTGTTTGTCCTCTACAGTTGATTGGTAGATCTATTTTTCCCAGTATGGTGATTTCAGATTTTCCATACAGTAATGCAGATGTTTGAGGTTTCTTTAGGTCTTGAATGTTGATGTTCAATTTCTTCAAGAAACACATGGGAAGGGTGTCTAGATCTGAGCCTGAGTCCAACTTGAATTTGATCCTTCTACCTTGAACATAAATCTCCTCGTACCATTCTGGTTCAATTGACTTTGAGAGAATGCTATGGATCAACACATAGTCATCTCTTTGTGGGGTATTTGTCTTTATCGGGGAAGTCACTGTCAGGGAATCGATTCTGCTCTGGCGTGTTTTGCAGCAGTTGGTGAAGTGTCCTTCTCGGTTGCACCTTTTGCAAGTGTAACCTTCTGCTGGGCACTCACCAAAGTTGTGTCTGCTGTCACACCGTTTGCAAGGCCTTTTCCTGCCATTATGGTCAGGACCCGGGGTTGGTTTTCTTGTAAACTTGCTTTGATGAGTCCTGGACCTTGATCTTGATCTTGACTTATGGTGACTTGATCTTGAATTATGATGATTTGATCTTGAATTGTGATGATTTGATCTTGACCTTGATCTTGAGTGAGATCTTGATTCTGGTCTATGGAAGGATACCGATCTTGATCTGGATCTTGATTTGTGATGATTTGATCTTGAATAATTGCTGTGTGACTTACTTGATCGATGTTGATGATTTGATCTTGATTGATGAGGTCTTGATGATTCTCTTGAATGATGATTTTTGATGTGATGGATTGATGATCCGTTTCCATTCTTGATGGCGATTGCTTGCGATACTTGATTTAATTTTTCACTCTCTTTGATCTGGATTACTAATTCTTGGTATGTTTTGAGGTTTTTCCTGATGATGAACTGCTGTAGTGCAGTGTCAGCGATAGAGTCAGCTAGATTGTCGATCATCATATGCTGTTGCTCTTCTAATTCAAATTCACAGCCTTCTGCTAATTTTAAAAGTTCTATGATATAATCATCTACATCTTCGTCGCCTCTTCTCTTTCTATTCCTGAACATGAGTCGACGGGAGATGGGGAAGTCTTTAGGTGAGACTTGCTTGTCAATTTGAGCGACTAGTGCTTTAAAGTCTTTCTTCATATCATCTGTGATGCCCCACACTGGAAACTGGTCCAGTGCCTCATGGCCCATAAAGGCCATGAGGACCCCTGCCTTTATCTCATCTGACTCAGTAGATTTTCCATTTGCCTGTAGCCAGATCTCCACTCCAGATTTACACAGCTTCCAGGATTTTTCAAGCTGGGACCCTAGTTCTACAGGTCTTGGGGTTGGGATTGCCATTGTGGATTGTGGATTGTAACTTACTTAGTTTATCACAGGTAATATCACAGATTTCTCAGATTTCTTGAATAAATAAATTAATTAAAATTTTATCACAGATGATTCAGTCTTGATGCATACCAGAGGGATTTCTCCTTGGTACCGGCCTGGGTGCCCAGTGAGATTGGATGATAATAGATTAAAATCTTGATAAAAGTTGATGATTTGCTTCCTCATAGATTCACTTCCGGCTGCGCCATGTGGTGATACGTAGGATTGATAATTGAGGAGCACAAGTATATGTTATCTCTTTAATGGGCAGAGCCAGACTGACGATAGCAGAGGGAATACATAGTGTGCATAATTTGTGGTGCAAATAGTCAGAGGGTAAATAAGCTAGCAGAAGCAATAAGTAAACATTACAACAACAACAATTGCCCACGGCTGTTTAGTTGTTAGGATAAACACCAGAACCGGCTGACTGACCATACACACTGTTGCCTGGAATTTTAGTTGTACGGTTCACTCGCTATTATTTATATCACTACTACCACTGCACCTTGCGCCTACCTAACCGTCTTCCTGAACAGCACGCACGCCTGCATAATCGATCAGAATAAAGTCCCTTTCAGTTACGCGGACGGACAAGCTCCAACGCATCGAACTCACTTTGGGGCTTGTGTCATTCATGAGCGCGCACACAAATACACACGCGGGCGGCGACGGCGGCGCGGGACGGGGGGTCATCCGAGAGGAGCGGAGAGTCGTCCCCGTGCAAGCGGGCTCGCGGCGGCATGCGGACTGCGCACGGACCTCCGCGGGGCACTGCGTGGAGCGGCGCGGCGGGGCCGGGACGTTTGCGCGTGTTGTGGTCGTGGACCGCGACCCGCCGCGCCACGCGTATGCTGCGAGTAGGAAGGAGCGTAGGGACTCCCCTTTCTCTCTCTCTCTCTCTCTCTCTCTCTCTC